GAGTCAAACTTCCGCTTTGGGGCCCCGGCTGCTGCTGCTTCGGCGGGGGCCTGGCACAGCTACAGATCTTTGTTTCTTACAGAAACTCTCTCAAGAGTGCGCTCAATGTCACGCCCTTCTTTCTGCATAGCTATGGCCAGTTATGGCGTCGACTGGGAGCTGCTGTTCAAAATCTCGGCTGCTACTTTCGCGTGCAGCTCCGATGCGAACTGGTAACCCCGGTTCTTCGGTTCCCAGATCACTGGGTGAGAATGCTTCTCCCGGAGCCACCTGGCCACATCCCTCCCCGCTGCATGGGTGCAGAGCTCCGATGCACCTTTGCCGGCCTTCCTGTTGGCCAGCAGCTCCTTTAGGATTTCCTCTCCTGTGTCACCTGCGATCTTGCACTGGTCCTTGAAGCGCAGCACCTCCTCGCGGGCAATCTCCTCCATCTCCCTTTTCTTGGCCTTGAGCGCCGGCTCCCCAACCTTGGCATAGTGCTGGCAGGTGCGTACCAGATCCTTCGCGTTGTAGCGGCCCACTCAGCGCAGGATGCGTCTCACGACAAAACAAACCAAACAATGCAGCCAAGGGGCATGCTTCAAGGAATTCGTCCGTTTTGTCCTGGAGCCCGTGGAGGTTCAGCAATTCCTTGGCCTCGTCTCTGGTCAAATCGCCTACCCGAAAGGTGTCCATACGAATCATTTCGGTGCCGAAAGCGATTTCCATGGCGTCCGAGAAGGCGCATATGATAGAAACCCTGCACAGCTTGCAAGACCCACAGCAAAACAGGCCGGCTGAGTCTTCGGGTCCCGGCGTGGGCCAGTTTGCTGTCGCACGAGAATTCCTTGCCGATGAAGTTAAGGTTCACGTCTTCCGTCGTTCGAATTTTCAAGACGAGGATAGGGGTTGACCCCTGGTTCCGCTTTTTGACCAGACGCAGGACATCCTGCAGCATGAATTCGTGGTCCAGGCCCAGGTCACAGCAGAGCTGATTCTCCCAATCTTTGTCCCAAACATTGTGGACGTAGACACCCTGCCTGCCACGGAGCGCTTCTTCGACAGCCACGGACTTGCCGGACCCAAACCGCCCCTCAATACCGGTCACCCAGTCATTCCATTGCAGGATTCGGCATCGGATGTCTTCGATGATGCGGCGGCCGACCACTTCGTTCTCCTCTTTCTGCGGGGAGAATGTCTCCATCATGCGGTCCGCTGCAGCTTGGATTCTGTCCTCTTTACATTCACGCTGGGCTCACCCGGCTCTCCCGTAGCAGTCCCGCTGGGCCCTGCGGCCCTGCCATGTGCCGGCAGCTGCCAGAGTCCCGCACCAACGAACAGCTTGACCATGACAATGAAGTCGGGCAGACCACATGCTCGGGAGAGAGGCAAATCTCGTTTCCCAGGAGGGTGTGGCACCTGCCGACCAAAAAAGCCTCTGGGGCCTGCAAGCTGCATGTCCAAAACGGAAGCGGCCGACCGGAACGCTGAAAACACAGCGTCTGCGCCCTTGCAGCAAGATTGGCGTGTTGACACCATAGCAGCGGACCGACTCCGGCCTGGAATGTTGTCGCCAAGCCAACAGCCAACGCGAGCTTTGCAATTGTGCACCTCTGTGCCATGGCTTCGAGTGGGAACGTTGAAGATCGCTGATGCAGCAATGCTGCGCTGTTCAAGAGAGCCCTTTGGAAGCGGAGGGTGAAGCGCAGGGCACTGTGCCTACTTACTGCCAGTCCTGAACCTGCACGCTGCACTCCACCAACTCTTGCGCCGATCACAGGCCCCGGCATCAAAACAAATGGCCGGACCCACCCACACTGCGCGACTGAAGCGCTGTGCCTACTGTGTCTGCTGTGCTTGCTGCCTTGCTGCGCCGTTGCCCTGCCCTGGAGAAGGCCCGGCGCGAGCAAGCAAAATCAGAGCCAAGCAAAAATCATGCAAGCCATGCAAAATCGTGCAAAAATCTGCCCCTATAACTGTTTCAGGGGTGCAGGAGTGGTTTATTCCTTTTGGGCGCATGGGTTTGGGGTTCTTTTTAACCGGGCCGCCGCACTTACTTGAGCAATGAGGGTTTTGAGCCAAAACGCTTCACAAGGGCGTGAGCCAAGAAGCGGGTACAGAGGGGCTTAATTGAGCCATTGAATTGCACACCTGCGCGCTGTTCAGCTTCGGCTGGGGCGCGCTTGCGCTGCTTAGCTTCGAGGGCGGTGGCTCGACTGCGAGCAATGACTTCGGCCCTCACTGTAGAATCGAGGAATCAGAAGTGCCGGGGTGGCCCTC